GGCCCCGGGCCCAGTGTGGGGACACAGGCCAGCTGTCCCGGGCCTCAGCCCCCACCCTGGCCCTCCGGACTCCCCCACAGCCCCGGGCCTGGCTCGAGACAGGTTCTGCCTGAAGCTGGGGAGGGGAGATTGGGGCAGTCTGGGGGTCCTGGGGCCCAAGGGCCGCCGAGGTCAGGGGGCTGCAGGCAGAATGGCCTGGAAGGTAAGATCGGGTTGGGATTGCTCTGGGCGACCTCTGGGTGCTGGAGGAGGGGCCCGGCACGCTGCACAGCTCCATCCTTCAGGGGCCGAGTCCTCAGCCTCCTGTCTGAAACCGGGGAGGGGGCATTGGGCAGATCTGGGGTGGATGCCTGCAGAGGACAAGGGACTACAGGCCGGAGAATGGCCTGGGAGTCAAGGCCACGTTGGTGCTGTCCCCAGGAGCATCTGGGGCGCGTGGGGCTCCCTGACACACAGGGTTGCATTCTGCACGGGCCAAAGCCACAGCCCCACACCCAGTCCTTCGCGGCCAAGTTCAGGCCGGACCCCAGGTGCCCCGTGGGGGAACAGAGAGACGAGAGCCCCAGGCAGACTGAGAGGAAACCCCGCCTCCTCACGGTCCCTGAGCCACTTCCCATTCCCATGCTGAGTAACTCCAGCACCCAGACCAGACCTGGGCGCCCCCAAACTGCTGGTTCTCCCCACCTCTCGGGAAAGGCCTGGGGCTGACATTCCACCGGTGGCCAGGAGGGGGCGGCCTGCGCTGAAACCGTTGGGACGGGATTCCAGAGGTCTGAGCCTATTCCAGTCTGCCGGCCTGAGCAGTGTGATGGGATTCCAGGGGTCCTGAGGGTGTGAGGCAGGGCAGAGGCTGCTAATGCCCTCGCCACCCTCCGCTAGGGAGCCAGAGGCTAGGAGAAGGAAACTGGTTGCTTGCCCTAGGTCACGGCCAGGCAGGGGACAACCTTGAGGCCACCTGTCCTGTGGGTCTTTCCCTGCACCAAGGTGGCTCTGAGGGATGCCTCCCATGCCCCTCGTCCAGCCAGGACTATGGCAGTCTGGAACTGGCCAGCAGGGGCGGCCTGGAGTGGAGGGGGCGAAGGCGGGCATTGGACTCCGGTGGACCTGGGATTAAATTCTGGCTCTAGCACTTTCTAGGGGCCTCTATAGAGCTTTGGTTTCCTCATCTGTCAAGGGCCAATAAATATCCCTAGCGAGGAGTGTTGCTGCAAAGATAAATAAAATGGGGTCATATGTTTCTGCGTAGCGTCTGCCAGGCCAAAAATGCTCCTTGCTTTTCTGGTACTGGTGCCATATCGCCACAACTCTGGCTGCCACTAGTTCTGCCAGCCCCACACCTGGCTTTGGGGTAGCCATTGGACTCGGCTCTATACTGGACCACACCGGGACCCTGGACAGTCCCTCCCTTTTCCTGGGTCTCTGGTGGTGGCAGCTGCAGGGTTCGGGGAGGTGGAGGCGTGCTAGAATTGTCTTGAGGCGGCACTTGTGCAGGGAGCGTGCCCCTTTCATGGTACGTGTTTATTTGGGGGTGCTCTGGGGGATACTGATAGAGCTCATGAAGGCTAAAGCCATCCCCCTCCCCGCCCCTCCGCTAACCGGTCTTTGTTGGTGGGAGTCAGGGCAGGGTCTGAGGCCGGACGCTTAGAACGTGCCTGCCGGCGGGGAGGGAAGGTCGGGGGTGCTGAGGGGATCTGGGCCCCCCTCCTCTCGGGGCAGTGACGTGCGCAGGAACCAGCTTTCAGACTTGCAAACCGCAGTCTGCGCTGAGTCTTTATTAATTCCAGGATAGGGAGGGAGTCTGGAGCCAGCGGGAGAGAGTTCACCGTGGGGATCCGGTGGAGGTGTGGAGGGGTCCTTGCAGGCATGGACCTGAGGCTGCCGGACCAGCACTAGCTCAGGGCCAGGGCCCCGCCTCCTGCCCCCAGCCCGTGACCCCTCCTCAGCAGCCCCTTCTCACGGCACTCACCGCATGAACACACGTCCCACAGACTTCTGCACACCTCAAAAGGGGGCCCGACTCAGCATCAGACCCATTTGCATGGCTTATCCGGTGCAATCGAGCCCCGGGCATGCAATCCTTGTCGCAAGGACTGGGTGTGACAGTCGTCGGCCAGTATTCATTCATTCACACACTCGTTTCTTTCCTTGTACATTCAAGAAGCCCGGTGATCCTCAACTGCCTGGTGCCACCTCTCTGCTTAGTTGTATAGATTAAATAAGGTCATGGTGCAGAGCCAGCCACAGAGGGCCTCACGGTTATCATTGACTAACCTTGCCTGCCCTCTTGCTGCCCAGCTCGGTGCCACAAAGGGCAAGCAGGTGAGTCACTCACATGCCATCTCTGTCCTCCAGCTCCATCAGGTGCACCCGTACAGGAAGGACAGACACATAGGCATCTACACAGCTCTCAGAATGTCATTGCTTTGCTAAGAAGCCCTCAGTAGCCATCCAGAGAAAGTACAGATTTCTGAATGTGGCCTTCAGGGCCACTACTAGTCTTCTTCCTGACTGGCCTCCCGTCGGACTGGTGCAGTTGCTCACCGGCCCCCAGACTCATCCTGGAGGTCTGAGCGCTGGCCCTTGGTTGGTGAGGTTCCCTGGTCTCGGCGTGTCTCAGCTTCCACCCTTCCAGGTCTGCCCCTGCATCCCCTGGCAGCCCCGTCCCCAGACCTCTCTGAGGGTTCTCAGCACGGGCCCTTTGGGACAGAGCTTGGGTGCCTTGTCTTGACCCCCACTGGCCTGGCCAGCAAGGAAGGCAGTTTGAGGGTGAACCTGTTTCTGCCTCCCTGGCATCCCAGAGCATTGGATAATAAGCACAGAGGTGCCTTCTGGGAGGAACAGAAGCTGCTGGTGTGGACAGACTCCCAGAATCCATGGGGCGTGGCTTCTGCTTTCTTTTTTGTCTATGCACGGTCACCCACGACCCTGGCCCCTGAGAAAGTCAGACAGGCTACCAGGTCAGCCTGAGAAGAACTTGGTGTCACCAGTTGCCAGGGAGGGTGTTGCTGTCAGCCATTCACACCTCTGCACGAGTGAGGGTCCCTCCAGCCAACCCCAAGGGAAATAGGCTCAATGGCATACTCAGAGGGGAACATGAACTTCTCATAGGAACCAAACTGAGGCATGGGAAGGAAATGAATGCTGGTTGGGTAGATGCTGTCACAGAAAATCAGGAAGGAGCCCCGCTTCCCTCCCCCCACCCACCCTCCGGCATCTGGGAGACCCAGCAGCAGACACGCAGGCCAAGCCCTTTCCCTCCTCTGATTTCAAATTTTCTGATATCCATATAAAATAAAACATAAGTAAAATTACTTTTAATAATATATTTAATCCAGTATATCCAAAAGATCACAATTTCAGCATGTAATCAATATAGCAATTATTATTATTATTATTTTTTTGAGTTGGAGTCTCACTCGGTCGCCCAGACTGGAGTGCAGTGGCCACTCCCGGCCACTGCAGCCTCGCCTGCTGGGCTCCAGCGATCCTTCCGCCTCAGCCTTCCAAGTAGCCGGAATTACAGGCATGCGCTACCATGCCCGGCTGATTTTTTGATTTATCGTAGAGATGAGGTCTCGCTGCCCAGGCGGGTCTCGAACCCGCGGGCTCAGGCAATCCACTCACCTCAGCCTCCCAAAGCCGCGGGATGACAGGCTGAGCCACCGAGCCCGGCTTATAGCAATTATTAATGACATGTTTTGCATTGTTTTCCGTACGAAGTCTTCAAACTGGTGTGTATTTTCCATGGAGAGTGCATCTCAGTCTGGGCTAGTCACGTTTCAAGTGCTTGGTAGCTGTGTGTGGCCAGGGTCCACCATGGCGGGGAACAGCCCAGGTGTAAACCATGAGAATGAGCCCATCTTAGTGACAAAGAGTGAGGAGGGAACCTGGAACCCCCGAAGGTGGGTCCTGCCACAGAAAGGTCTGAGGTGGGACAGGGCTTGGGGACAGGGGAAGAGGGGCAGAGCAAGAGGGATGTCCCTGGGGCTGGCAGGAAAAGGCCTGGGGCTCACCCACGACAGGCAGCTCCACAAAAGAGACCCTGCCCTTGGGCTGCCGACCGAGCCAGAGAGGGCGGCCACCTACTGTGGCATGCCCAGCAGCATCAGACCAGAGCCAGCCCCTCGACTGGAAGATGAGAAGGGTCTTTTGCACCGCACCCCTCCCCAGAGGCGGCTGGGGACCCCGTTGACGGGTGGCCAGGACAGGAAGGAGCCTGGCGCGGGCATGGGTGTGGGACTTCACTGGAGGTAAAGGATCTGTAGCTGAAAATAGATCAGACAGCATGGGTCTGGACCATTTGCCGGGTGTCAGCCCAGGGAAGAACAGGCTGTGCTCTGAGACTGGAATACCAGCCCAGGGAGCTTTTGCCACCCCCAGGCTGGCGGTGGGGGCAGGGT